GAGTGGCATCTATGTTCGTTGTGTGGTTGATTCCCAAGTCTATCCCATTTATGTTGTTTTCCCTCCCGCCTTCCCCGCGTCCCGTGTCCTAGTCATGTGCTAGGTAGTCCGTTGGGTTGTGTGTATGTGTGATGTGGATCCCACGGGAGGGAGAGCTGTCCTCGTTCCTTGTGGTATCGTGACTCTGGGATCAGGATTTTCGGTCTCTAGAGTGATAGTGTGTGAGGTTCGCTCGGGGGTCTCCTGTTGTTCAGCTCTATCTTGGGTATTGGTGCGTGAGTCGGTGGTGTCGGCTTGGGTTCAATGAGAGGTCTGTATGATGTTGTTTTTCGGGATTGGTAGGTTGTTGCCAGTATCGTATGCTGCTACGTCCTGTGCCCTCATTGGTTGCGTTCATGGGGTGGTTGTGTGTTGGCGGTGTGTTGATCCTGTGAGCGTTGTGGTTGTATTGCGTGTAGTGTGTGTGGCTTGTTAGGGGGAGGGATGGGTGGAGGCCCCCTTTACTCCCTTCCCCAGCCGCCGCGTCCCCCCCATCTCATCTCGCCACGTATATTATCCAAGGTTGCCACTTGTCAACGTGTTTCGTGAGGGTGTCTGGTAAGGTCGCATGCATTTCTTCTGCGAATCTGATCTCTTCTACCCTGTTTAGCCATTGTTCCATTGTGGGGGCGTTTGTCATTTTCCATAGGGCAGGGATTAGAGCCTTGGCCGCGTCGAGAAGGTGTCGTAGGATGGATCATTTGTATTTTGAAATCGGGTCTTTAGTATGATGCAGGAGAGTGTTGTCTATTGACAATTGTGTTGTGTTCCCTAGTACCTCTTTGATGCGGGACGTAATCTGGTTCCAAAACGGTTTAATGTTAGGGCAGTCCCACCAGATATGTTTTAGTGTTCCAATATCTGCTTCACATCTCCAACAGGTCGCCGAAGTGTTGGGGAATATTCTGTGGAGCAGGTCTGGGGTTCTGTACCAGAATGTCAATAGCTTATAGTTCATTTCTTGGTATTTTGAGCTAATCGTGGATTTGTGATGAAGGATGAGAATTTTGTCCCATTGTGCGTCGGTGAAAACTTTGTCGGTGATGCTTTCCCATTTTTCCTTATACCGTCGAGTTGCTTGCTGCTCATCTGTGATTAGGTATTGGTAGAGCATCGACGTTGGTTTCTGAGTCGGTGTTTGTTTGTCGCAGATGTCCTCAAACCACGTGAGGGCTCTGTGTACCTCTTGTTTGTTCGGTAGGGTGTGGTAGAAATGCGTCAGCTGGGAGTATCTGAATTTGTGCATGGGAGCTGGCGGGCCTTCCATTAGGCGTTCCAGGGGGGTCAGTCCAGTGGCAGTTAGTGTTTTGTGGAGTGGTATGAAGTCCCTTCCCTCCAGAAAGTCCCAGGCCTTGATCGGTAGTCCTCCCCCCACTGCTTGGTTGTGTGTTAGCGTGGTCATCGGGCTGGGTGTTGGGGAGATGATCGTTGCGTTCCTCATTGTTGACCATATGTGGAGGGTGTGACTCGCAGGCGAGGTTGCGCCGGGGTCATTACGCCGTGGCGTTTTCTGATTCCATAGGGATGCAAAAATGGATGGGCTGCATGATTCTTTGTCCAAGGCCACCCATTGTTTGCATCTCGGGTTTGTGTGCCATTCCAGTATCCGTTGTAGGGCTGTCGCTTGGTGGTATTTGCGTAGGTCTGGGAGTGCCAATCCGCCCTGACTCCTGGTCTTGCATAATATTTCATATCTTAGTCGAGGTCTGCATCCTCTCCAGACGTAGGTCAGGAATGCGGTTTTCATTGTCACGAAAAAGGTCGTCGGTAATGCCACTGGGATCGTATGGAATAAATATAGTAGTCTGGGTAGTATATTCATTTTGATGACCGCTATGCGGCCGAACCATGAGATGTGTGGGTAATTCCAGGTTCAGAGGTCTTGTTGAATGCGTGTGAGGAGTGGGAGGAAGTTTTTCTGGTAGATGGCGTTGGGGTCAGCCATCACCCAGATCCCCAGGTATTTCATTTGGGTATGGCACCATCGGAACGGGAAGGTCGAAGCTATATCCCCGTGTTCCCCCAGTGGGTCCGTGATGTTGAGCAGTTCGCATTTGCTTAAGTTAAGTTTGAGGCCCGAGAGGTGTCCGTATTTTTCGAATTCTTCCATTAGGCATGGTAGGGTGAGTCTTGGACGTGTAATGAAGAACAACATGTCATCCGCGTATGCGGCTACTTTGTGTGTGGCGGTTGTACAGGTGTAGCCCGTGATGTTAATATTTAGTCGGATTGCTTCCAGTAGGGGTTCCAATGTTAATGCGAACAATAACGGGGACAAGGGGCACCCCTGCCTCGTACCATTGCGAATCGGGAAGGACTCCGTTAGGGCTCCGTTAACACGCACTGCTGCCGTCGGGGTGCTGTATATCGCTCCGATCCATTTCTGTATGTTGTCATTAAACCCCAGTAGACATATCGTCGTTTTTAAGAATGCCCAGTCAACTCGGTCGAACGCCTTTTCGGCGTCCGTGGAGAGTAGCAGGAATGGTGTTCCATGTTGTCTTGCTAGATGTTGTATAGCGAGAACTCTCAGAGTGCTATCTCGAGCCTCCCGTTCCAGTATGAACCCCGTTTGATCAGGGTGCACGAGTGTTGGCATTAGGTTGCTAAGTCGGGTGGCTAATATTTTGGTGAAGAGTTTTGTGTCCATGTTTAAGAGGGAGATGGGTCTGTAGCTGCCGCAGGTTTCCGGGTCCTTACCTGGTTTTGGGATTACTGTAATTGTAGCCGATAGTGATTCGGCGTGGAATGTATGTCCCTCAGTGATGGCATTGAGCGCCTTTGTGAGTTTGGGGGCTATTATATCTTGGAAGCGTTTGTAGTAGTCCAGCGTAAGTCCGTCGGGTCTGGGTGCGCGTCCTGTCTTCGTCGTTTTGATAGCTGTCTTAATGTCGTCTTCGGTGATCGGGCGGTCGATGGTTTCTGCGTCTTCGGCCGTCACCGTCGTGTGTAGGTGTTCTCTCAGAAGCATTCCATGCGGCCTTGTTTGATTCGTCTGCCTTCTTCGTCGCTTTGTGAATGTGTATTGTAGAGCGAGGAGTAGTAGGTGAGAAATTCCTTGGCGATTTTCTCCGGGTGTTGGGTAGTAGTGCCGTCGCGTGTTTTTAATTTGTGGATTTGTGAGGGGTGTTGTTGTCCCCTGAGCATTTGTGCGAGGAGTTTGCCTCCTTTGTTTGCGTGGAGTTAGAAGAAGCCTTTAGATCTACGGAGTTGTCTCAGGTGTCTCTTGAGTAGCAGTGCGTGTAGTCTCCTTCTTTCCTCTAATAGTTCTTTGTAGGTATCTTCCACCTGTTGACGTTTGTGTTGTGTTTCCAGGGAGCGGATCCGGTCAAGGATGTTTGACATAAGTGCGCCCGCCTCTCTTTTCCGTTGTGAAGCGATTTGGATAAGCTTGCCCCGGAGTACACTTTTGTGTGCCTCCCTTACTGTCATATCAGATACGTCTCCCGTCTCATTCTCGGTAAAGTATGTCTGTAGAGTGTCGGTGACTTAGGCCCTCAGTGGGAGGTCGGTTAAAAGGGAGTCGTTTAGTCTCCACGTCGTTTTCGTCGGTCTTATGAGTGGAGATTCGAGGTCCATCGACACTTGTCCGTGGTCCGACCACGTTGCAGCGTGTATGGATGCTCTCCTAAGTCTTATTAGAGCTTCTTGTTGCAAAAGTAGGAAGTCTATCCTGGAGTATCTTTTGTGTATTGTGGAATAGTGAGGGTATTCTCTGTCTAGTGGATTTAGTGTTCGCCAGCAGTCTACCAGGCGTAGCGTTTTCAGAGTATGTTGTATGGTTCTTATTTCTCTCTGTGGGATGCTGCAGTGTCCCGTTGAGGAGTCTACTTTAGGATCTAGTGTGACATTGAAGTCTCCTCCCGTGATCAAGGTTCCTTCCGTGAAGTCTGTTAGTGCCTTCAGTGTGTTCTTGAGGAATCTAGATTGATTGTTGTTGGGGACGTATATTGTCGCGAACGTGTAACATCGCCCTGCGATATTCCCCTTGACGAAGGCGTATCTGCCGTTGTGGTTTATAAGGCGATCCTGTTCCTGGAATTGTAGACGAGCTGCTATAAGGATCGCGACCCCTGCCTTTTTCGCTGTAGGGTGGTTGCCGTAGTAGTTAGTGGGGTAGTGTTTGTTCTTGAGTGTCGGGGCCGCTCCTTCTCGAAAGTAAGTTTCTTGGAGAAGAGCTATTGCAACCCTCTCTCTCTGAAGTTCCCTCAAAAGATTAGTTCTGCGTTCTGGGAGATTCAATCCCCTGCAGTTTTGCGTGATGATTTTCAGCGGGTCTGGTCTGTATGCCATCTTGTCCGTATCTCTGCGCAATGGTGGTGTCTTGTCGGGTACCGGGGTCCCTCGTCCGCTTCCCGCTCTCTTATGGACGCGGGAGTCGACCGAGGAAGCCCGATCCCGTGGCTTAATTCCTGGGTTTTGATGTGGTTCGGCGCCTCTGCGCCGTCTGGTGGTTGGCTCGAGGCGGACGCGACGGCCGGGTCAGGAGCGCAGGGGGGGGGGGTGGGACGTTCGGGTGGGTTGCTGGACTGCGGTCACGTGTGAGGTGGCTGGCATTCGTGGGGTGTTGGTATTTGCTCCTGTGTGGTCTAGGGGAGTTGTGTCTGCTTAGGCTCAGTGCCTTTCGGTTATGTTAGGCTCCGTGCCTGGTTCGTGTGATGGGGGTGTGTGTTTCTTATTTAGATGTTGGAGAGGTGTGGTGTGCGTGTCGTGGTAATGTGAGGAGGTGAACCTCTCCGTGGAGAGGGAGTTCGTGTGCCTACGGTGTCGGTCGGAGGTCACCCCGAGATCTATCCCGGTGGTGTACCAGTCGGCCTCTGTAGTATCAAGCGTGCGCACCGAGAGGGGTGGGTAGCGTGTCTGGGCCCTTATCCGTTTAGGCTATGGTGCCTGTGTGGTATATGCGGTGTTAGTTGTAGAGTTGATACTTGAGAAGGGTTGTGTATCGTCGGTATGATCTGTTAGTTGTGTAGAAGTGTATTTCCGTTTGGGGTTGTAGCGTCCGTCCACTGTAGTAGAGTTGTTATATAGTCATCACTAATGCCATTGGTGTGTGCCTGTAGTGTTATCAGCACTATGCCTCTTTGTTGCGCCTTTTTGGTGTCGCTGGTGTCGGGTGGGGGGGTGTACCGTGAGGGTAGTTTGTGTGTAGTCAAAGTAGGGGCTTGAGGATATCTCTTTGGGGTGTGTGCAGTGTGGGTCCTCTTCTCATTATGTCTGGGTCGTTGCATCTGGATCATGTTGATGTTTTTTTTTTGTTTTTTTTTCTCTCCCCCCTCTATGTCCCCTCGCCCCGTCTCCCGCCCCTTTTGTTCATATTTCACAGCCTCCAGGGGGTGGTGGGATGGTCGTCTGCCCAGTGTCTTCCCGTCATCAGTATGTCGTCTGAGTGAGGCACTTGTGATTGTATGTAGTGTATGAATCTCTTTGGGTGCATGTTGTCTATACATGTCAGTCCTTTTGACGTGAGGGGGAGGGCCCGGTAGGTAACACAGAGTGAGATTGCATAGTCTAGCCTTTCAAAATAGGTTACTCACAATAGTCATACAATAAGGAGCAGTCTCGGGCCTCACAATCAGCTATACATTTAGCATGGAATCAGTTCTTCGTCTTCACGAAAGTCAATGCTGCAGGAGGTCTCTAGGACCCCATCTCTATGTCCCAAACCTTCCCCCCTGTGATCCCCCTCCCCAATAGGACTTACTCCCCTGCTTTATTTTTCTTCCCGCCCCTCCCTTTTCGTCCCCTTGTTTTTTTTTCCCCTTTTTTTTGTTTTTTTTTGTTGTTGTTGTTTAGAACCCTTTCGTGTTGTGGAGGACCCATTTGCAAGTGAGATATCCCTTAGTTCGGTCAGTATCAAGGTGAAGAGTGGTACCTTCCCGCACCAGGGGGGTGGGGGGGGTGTCCCCTCTGTTAGTCTCGTGCCAATGTGTTAACTACCCAATGTCAGAGTACCTGATTCTTGGGGTGCGGGTTTGCCTCCAGGTGCTTCTCCAACGTGGGTTCCAGCTGTTTGTGTTGTCTCGGAATTGTGGGGTCTACGGGAGCGGTGCCGGTTGGTCAGGTAGTGGGTTATTCCTCTGGGTTGTTTAGATCTGGTCGGTGTCGCGGAGCTTCACCCGGAGAGTTCCATCTTCTTCGCCTTGCTTGTTGCTGCGGTTGTGGTCTTGGATCCAGCGGCATGAATACCCAGTTCGGAACGGGGGTTGGCGGCAGGTTCAGGCGTTGTATGAATTGAGGAATGTCTTCTGGCCATCGTGCGGAAACCCATTCGTTATTATAGCGAACTGTGATGCTAAATGGGTAATCCCATCTATATTGCATATTCCTCTCCCTCAGGATGGTGGTAACCGGTCTCAGGGCTCTTCTAGCCTCCAGGGTCATAGGTGATAGGTCATTGTAAAGGGATATTTCTGCGCCCCTGTAGTTCCAGTGGGCCCTGGACCTAGCTTTCCTCATGATCAGATCTTTGATGGCGAAGGAGTGCAGGCAGCATATTATATCCCTGGGGGTCCCTTCCGTGGGCCGGGGACGGAGTGCTCTATGTGCCCTGTCATATTTAATAAGCGCTGGTGTGTCCTCCCTTAGGATGATGCGGAATAGGGAGGTGAGCATCTCCTCTATGTTTTCCCCCTCTGGAGATTCAGGTATCCCCCTTACCCTGATATTGTTGCGACGACTGCGGTTGTCCTGGTCCTCTAGCTGTTGCCTCATGGCCAGTATGAGAGTGCCTTGGCATTTGAGGGCCGTGTCTGTGGCTGCAGAGTGGTCTTCAGTGGTCTGTGCCCTTTTTTCTACCTGCTGTATGCGGTGTTCCTGTGCTTTGATTTCAGCCTTCAGGCCGGTCACTTCAGATTTAATTACTTCGTGTAGGTTGTTAGTCAGGTGGGTGAGGTCATCTTTTGTGACCATCCTCATTGCCATGCGTTTTAATTCTGCTCCGATATCTGCCAGTGTAGTGGTGTCGGCAGTGGAGCATGTGGATGCTGGTGAGGTCGGCGCCATTTTGGATGTCGGTGAGCTGGGGTCCGGGCCGCATGGCGCGTGGAGGTATTCATCCATCGGCCCTGTTTGCGACCCTGAGACGGAAGGTTTGGGGGTCTGGGGTAGGTCCCCTCTTTTTGTGCAACCCATTGGTGGCAGTGCGTGCAGGTGAGTAGTGGGTTGCTTCGTTCTGTGTGCTTTCGTGGAGCGGAGTACAGCGCTTAGGCGGCCATGTTCGTCGGAGCCCAGGCCACGCCCCCTCCCGAATCATTTTTAAATAGTGTGTTGGCTCTGTGCACACACCTATCAAAGGTTTTTAATTCTGTTTTTTTTTTATCTTCCTCTTTTCGCATAACCAATGGCACCCACCAGGGCTGCCCACTTTCCACGTATTTTCATTTTGTGCCTAGAGCTTCTGGTCAGACATAAAACAGAGCATAAAGATAACAGGGAAATCAATTATTGGTTGGGATATGTTATAAACCACCTAATGTAAATATTAATGAGGAAGAACAGCTGTTAGAGCAAATTGAGAAAGCTGCAAATCGAGGTAACACATTAATTATTGGAGATTTTAATTATCCAGACATAAATTGGGAAAGAGGGACTAGTACTTCAGCAAGGGGCATCAGGTTTTTGAATGTGTTAAATGACACCTTTATGTCACAACTGGTACAAGCACCAACTAGACAGGATGCTTGTCTGGATCTTGTCATAACAAACAATGTTGATCTTTTAACCAACATTCAAGTAGGGGAGCATTTGGGAAATAGTGATCACAATATGGTAAATTTTGAAATAAACTCAAAAAAGCAAAAAGGTGGGGTATACTAAAACATATAATTTTAAAAAAAGCCAATTTCAATAAGATTAGGGCAGCTCTACAACATATCAACTGGCATAAACTCCTTAGTGATAAAAACACTGAGGATAAATGGAAACTATTCAAATATTAGAAAGGTAAATTTCTCAGTATGTACCATTGGGTAATAAATATAAAAGAAACAAATTAAAACCAATGTGGCTAAGTAGAGAAGTAAAACAAGAGATTAAAAATAAGAAAACTGCATTTAAAGCATTTAAATCAGACAAATCAAAGGCATCCTATTTAAGATATAAGGAAGCCAATAACGCTTGCAAAAAGGCAATTAAAGTGGCTAAACTAGAAAATGAGAAACTGATAGCTAAAGAATGCAAAACCAACCCCAAAATTTTTTTCAAGTACATCAATTCTAAAAAAACAAAAAATTAAACAGAGTACACTTGAAACAGAGTTGGGTTTATTAGCTAATGAAGACCAGGAAAAAGCAGAAATTTTAAATAACTATTTTTCTTCAGTATTTATTAATGAAGATCCTATGGCAAGAGATATGCAAATGATTGCTGCAAAAAACTTGCAAATAACTTGTGATTGGATAACTCGAGACAAGGTGCTACAGCTACTAAAGAAAATTAATGTAAATAAAGCTCCGGGGCCTGACGGTATTCACCCACAAGTACTTATAAGCTAAGTGGGGAAATAAGAGAACCTCTGTATTTAATTTTTCAAGATTCTTTTGTTTCAGGTGTTGTACCAGAGGATTGGAGGAAGGCAGATGTTGTTCCTATATTTAAAAAGGGTTCAAAATCCTTGCCTGGAAATTATAGACCTGTGAGCTTAACTTCTGTAACTAGGAAAATATTTGAAGGGCTATTAAGGGATAATATTCAGGAATTCATTGGGAAGAACTTTGTTATTAGCAATAATCAGCATGGTTTTATGAAACATAGGTCATGTCAAACTAACCTAATTGCATTCTACGAAGAAGTAAGTAGAAGTATAGATCAGGGTGTTGCAGTGGATGTGATCTACTTGGATTTTGCCAAGGCATTTGATACGGTTCCTCACAATAGGTTAGTCTTCAAACTAAAAGAAATTGGTCTAGATTAATATTCTTGTTCTTGGGTAGAACATTGGCTTAAGGATAGAGTACAACGAGTTGTAATTAATGGTAAGTTTTCAGGCTGGACAAAAGTGGTAAATTGTGTCCCTCAGGGTTCTGTTTTGGGACCACTTCTAATTTCATTGAAAGCCATGTATCAGTGTTTGCAGATGACACAAAACTTTGTAAAGTAATAAAATGTGAGCAGGATATTGCTTTGCTGCAGAGAGATTTGGATAGATTGGGGGACTGGGCACTAAAATGGCAGATGAAATTTAACATAGAGAAATGCAAAGTTATGCACTTCGGGGTTAAGAATGCACAAGCAACTTACACACTAAATGGTAGTAAATTAGGGTAACCACACACAAGAAGAATTTGGGAATTGTTATAGACAACAAATTAGGCAGCAATATGCAATGTCAATCTGCAGTTGCTAAGGCCAGTAAGATTTTGTCATGTATAAATAGGAGCATAAATTCTCGGGATGAAAATATAATTTTGCCTCTTTATAAATCGCTGGTAAGACCACACCTTGAATATGCTGTGCAATTTTGGACGCCTGTTCTAAAGAAGGATATCATGGCACTGGAGAGGGTCCAGAGACGAGCTACAAAATTGATAAAAGGAATGGAGCTGTGACGAAGTGCCCTTCGCCACTTGGTACTGGAGAGGCCTGCTTGCCAGCCTCCTCCCCTGTGACTATGACTCTTTGATGTATTTGCCTTTAAAGCCCCTATTCTACCTTCAGACAGACTATTTATGTAGGCTGCTTTATTTATCTTATGTTTTAGTCACCCTGTACCCATTATAGGTGCAGTGTGTGTGTAATGTAATTGTTTATAGTGTGTGTGTGTGTACTGTGTAATGTATTGCCTGCTCTCTTGTATTGCTGAGGTTTGCTACCAACTAGGTGGGTTTGGCTATGGAGCTGGTCTAGTGCCCTCTGTTGGTAGCAACAGCAATATGCACTACCTGAATTGCAAGACTGGTTCATTTCCATATTCGGGTAGATTTGCATATTGCTAATTCTGCAGGCAGGTGAGATATTTAATGTTAAATATTGTCTCCCCCCACCCCTTTAAAAATGTACCATTGTGTTGTGATAAGTCACTGTGTGTTGCTTGATGTGTTTTGACTGTTTGTGATTTTATTGAGGTTTCACAACAATGTTATTGTGGTGACTGTATTGGCTGGTCCCAAGGGAATAAAGGTTTTGACAGTTCTTCTTGATCCCTCTAAACGTAGCCTTGTCTCGTTATTGGAGGGAGCTGTTATAATCACACTGGGGATTGCTATGCTCTGCATGCTCCCCTGAGCTTGAGTCACTTAGC